GAGGGACCCTCCTGCCTTTAGGACTCCTTCATCCAGCTGCCCCTCCCTGGGGGCCCGGAGGACATCTTCCCGGAGATGACCCCCCAGCAAGTCCGGCAGGAGATCGAGCGCTGCAAGGTGCGTCCTGCTGTGTCGGCAAGAGGTGGGTCGGATCCAAACCGCCCCGGGACCCGTCCCGGTCGGCCTACGCTGTGAGCTTGAGTTTCTTGTTTTCTCTTGGACTACGAGCCAAGAGTGGTGGAGAGGGGGTACCCCACGCTTAAGAGAGCCTGGAGTCTGGGGCTCCGCACGGGGGGCAGCTCCCCCTTCCCAAACAAACAGCGTGCACGGGGGCTGCACACCGGGGGGGGGTGGCACAATGTCTGCAGGGCCTCGCTGTCTGATGGTACCTCTCACAGGAACTTTGTAGTGCTCTGGAGCAAAACCATGCGAAGCTACAGACGGTCAAGGAAGCTGTAGAGCAAAGGACACGAGAGCTGAGGAAAGAGGGAGAAATTCTTCATAAAAATCTTGAGCAACAAATGTCTTTGAACAAAGAGGAATCCTGCCAGGTGGGTGGTCGGAGGAGTTGTCTTGGGCTTGGAAAGGTGGCAGCGGGTGGTGGGGCTACATCACTCGGCTCACTGCTCTGAGATCACTTTGCTCTGGACCTAGTGGAGGTTTCACAGGGCGTCGCATCAGGCTGGTGCTCAGAAGTGAGCGAGTGCTGCAGAGGTGGAGGAAGGGCTGTGATGGAAGGTGAGGAGCCAGGGCAGGGATGCAGGCAGTCAAGAGCAGAAAAACTGTGGGTGGAGCTGTGTCCAAGAACAGAGCTGTGCTTAAAACGGAGAGCGTGCTGCAGCCCCTCGTGTCCTGATGGTTCCCTCGCTGCCCTCTCTTTCCTTCCAGGTGGGCATTATTTTAGCAAAGGAAGAGAAGAACAAACTAAGGCAGGAGAAGCAGGTGCTGAAACAGAAACTGGAAGAAGTGAGGAAGAGAGTCCTCTGGGAGGATCCGGTGATGGTAACAGAGCACGTGAGGGCACTCGGGTCTGCTGGCAAGGGGTATGGGCCTGGCTGGAGAGGCTGCAGGTGAATGCAGCTGGGCACTGTGATGACTGGCACAGTTCCTGCTAGCGGGTGGCTCCTCTGCCAGGGCCAAAAGCTCCAGTCATGGCTTTGGGACTCCAGGCACAGCCAGACCCTAGGAGAGACTCTGCTGAGGCTTTCCAGCTGTTTATTTTGAGCCATGAGCTTGTTTCTAGTCTGTGGATTGGTAGGGACAGGCCCCATGCGGCATCCAGTCTCCTCCAGGTGCTGTCTGTGTACTCGAACCTAGATGCTGCCTACCTTGCCGGAGAAGAAAATGGTGTTTAAGGGACTTGTGACAAACAAGGAGGATATGAACAAGCTGATGCTCACCCCACTGATCCGCTACCCTCTGCTGGGGGGCTCAGCTCTCATCACTTTTGAGAAGGAAGAGGGTAAGAGAAGAGCACTGCCACAGCCCGGGTGTCCTGGTCGATCAGCTTTGGGGCCTGCCCTGCATCCCCTCCCTGGGCAAGGGCTCAGAGCTCTGCCCCCTCTGCTGGTGTTGTGTTCGGTTGCGCCCCCTCCCCAAAGCATACGCTGCCCCGTGTCCTGTTATGTGGCATGCTTGGAGCAGGCAGGCAATGCCCTGGGGGCTCTCCCTGCTTGCAGTGGCCCAGAGGATCCTAGAGATGAAGGAGCACATGGTGGAGCTGAGCTGCGGGGAGGAGCTGGAGGCGCTTGACCGGTGCAGAGTGCGAGTGTGGGCAGCACCGGTGGATATACTGCTGCCATCTTCCCTGGAGGTAGGTTCTGAGGGCCCACTACTTCCCACACCATGGAAAACCGCAGAGCTGCCCTGGGCATGTACCAGCTTTGCTGTGCCCTACTCTGCTGCTCTCCAAGCTTACCTCTGCCAGGTCACTGGTACCAGCTCTGTGGCCAGCCCTGCCCTGCATTGGCACTGACTGGCCTGTACCACTCGCAGATCCATCTGACGCGGAGCAGCAGGAGTATCCTCGTGTCTGGCCTGCCCAGCCTGGGCATCCCAGAGGAGGCTCTGCTGGACAAGCTGGAGCTCTTCTTCAGCAAGACAAAGAATGGGGGTGGCGAGGTGGAGAGAAGGGAGTTCTTGGATGACTCTGACCAGGTGGTGCTGACCTTCGTGCAGGACGGAGGTGCGTGGGGCATGCCGAGCTGAGGCTGCTGGCAAGGAGAGAGCAGCCCAGCTGGCTCTGGAGGGGGCACAGGTCATCTTCTGAGGTGAGATGGAGCTGTGTCTGTGGGGAACAGGGAAGGCAGAGTGAGCCCAGGCTGCCCTGTCTCCCCTGAAACTGTGCTGGTGCAGGTGAGCTGAGGCTGGGCAGAGCCAGCCTCGGTGTCTGTGCCAGGGACGGAACCTCTCCTGGAGCTCAGCATGGGCTTTCCTCTCCATCTGCAGTGGCAGAGCTGCTAATTGAGAAAGGACACATCCAGGTGCTTATTGGGAAAGGAAAATATGAGCTCAAGATATCACCGTATATGAGTGGAGACATCACTAACCTACAGGTAAGGGCATGAGCCTGGGTGCCAAGCAGTGTCTGCCAGCCCAGAGTGTGCCAGCATGGGTGGGGGCTCCTGAAGACCCACTCCCCACGCTGCTGTGCAGCCTGAGGCACGGCTGCTGCAAGTGGCCCTAAGCAGAGCAATGCTCTGTCCACTCGGCAAGTGCCCCAAGGGGCTCCCCTCTCTGCCCGCCCTCCCGTCGCCCCGTGTGGCGCAGGGCCTGCTGCAGCTCGCCCCGGCTCTGCCCAGCTCCAGCCCTCCCGCTGCCCCAGGACCATCCTGCTCTCGGGGATCCCAGACGTGCTGGGTGAGGAGCCCATGAGGGACATCCTGGAGATCCACTTCCAGAAGGCCAGCCGCGGCGGAGGAGAGGTGGACGCTCTTGCCTACGTCCCGGCTGGACAACAGAGAGTGGCGGTTTTCGTGGAGGACGCGGGCTAGCCCTGGCCAGCCCCGTCGGCCTGATGCTCTGCGCGG